AATGTATATATATGTTTGTGTGCGTGTGTGTGTGTGTGGTCCCCTTGCCAGCACATCGAGTGATAAGCCAGAGCAGCACTTGGCTCTTCAGCCTGGCTGGCAGAGACAGCAGCCGAGGCAGCAGCAGCAGCAGCCAAAAAACGGAAACGTCAAGTTTTGACGCTTTGGCGCCGGAAGTGCTCAGCACGATAGAGCAGCACAATGCCGAGTCCTTACTGCCTGCCTCTTGCCTTTTTTATGCCCTTTTTTGTCATATCCTTCTCAGCATTTATAACCGTTACCCATTTACCGCACAAGGCTAGTTTAGCCTTGGGGTGTGGCTGCTGCGTTTAATCAACAATAAAATCAGAAATCAAAAACTTAATGAATGTCCTTTTGTCATTATGCGACAATGATGCTACTGCTRCTGCTGCTGCTTCAGTTGATGATGCTAATGATGTTGCTGATGAAGTTGAAGATGATGAAGCTGGTAGATGCTGATGCTGGTAGATGATGCTGCTGCCGGAGGATGCGACTGATGATACAGAGCTGTCAACATGGACAGGGACGAAAGGCTTTTTACAGTTTGAATGGGAAATTTTAGAGAATTTTGTTCTTCGTTTTTTGAAACTGTTTAAACACAGTCGAGTTTCGATATGTTGTACCCCGCTAAATCGAAAATCGCGATAAATCGAAGAAAATTCTATCCCTAGACTAGATTGTATATTAAAATATTACAAAAAGAAAAGCTAAAATATAGTATCAATTTGTCTATAGAGAAAATGTGATACTTTATAAGTTAAATGGGATGCAACAAAGAAATTTAGAGCACTCTTATATTAGCTTTGATATATCTATAGATATATGTACGTGGCTACAGCGTAGTCTTCTATTAATATTTAAGCTAAACAAAGTTTAGCTCTAGCTAGAAAACAGCTAAACTGGCAGCACGGTTTTCATATAGAGATTGAGTTGCTCGCCTGAAAGAGCTACAAGACTAATATTTATAAACCTAAGATCTGACCAAAAAAAGGGCCCATAAAAGAAAAACAGTTAAACGAGAAATGGTTCTCAGATGTCTTTAATATAAGAATGTATGTATAATTGACTTTGGGCAGCCTTAGGTCTTCAACAAAGTTGGATCTGAGTTGAAAAATGCTAAATTCGCAATCCAGACAGACATATAGCAGTACCGTTATGTGACTGACTCCAGTCCTTATTTAAATATATATAACAAAAAGAAAATACATCTGACTGCAAACAGAAAGCTAAATTGCCAGCACTGCTATGTTATTATACCGTTATGTGTGCCCGTTAGCTGGCCGCTGGTGGGGCGGTGCGGGGCGTTGCTTGAGCAGCCTTGATGATGACGGCAACGACCGTTTACGCGGCTGATGCTGCCACATTGACTAATAACAATAATAACTGGACACTGTGCGTGTGTGTGCTGGTGCCTCTGTGTGTGAGTCTGTGATTGTGTAGGTGTACTTCTCACAGCCGCAGGTCCAGCGTCCTGCGCTTCAAGTTGAAAATTTCCACACGTTATATGTATTCTATGTCGCGGATCCTGTTTGGGTCCTTTCGCCTGCTGTTTGTCTCGCGCTTGAAAAAATATATATACGTATGTAAGTGTGTTTCTTTGTGTATATATATACATGAAAATATGACAGTCGCCCCATAGAACTTTAATAAAATTATTGATTTTCGCTGGCGCTGGCGCCAAGCTTTTTTTTTTTCTTAGCTCGAGGCATTGAAAATTTTGACAAATTTGTAATTTATAGATTTCTATAGATGAAATATTATTTTCCATAAATACTTTATAATTTGACTGGTCGTAAAACTCATTTCCTTAAAATCTGTTTTATATAAAAATATGTGAATTTTAAAGTTCTCCTTATTTTTGGCGTGGAGCTCCAGAAATATCTGCAAATCAGATTTAAAAATAAAAATTATATCATACAAAATTAAATTTATCTTTAAAGGTCAACAAAAATGGTTCTTTTAGCAGACTTTAGAGATGACATTTTCAAGATATTTGATAAGATTTTATTATCCGGATTAGTAAATGTTCGGACTAAGAAGAGTTTCAGCTTCAGGGAGGTTTTACTGTAGACATTGTGTGCTCTTTTTGTTTGATCTACGAAATATGTTAAAAAATATCTCATTAAAAATGTATTAGACTACTTTCTTCTCTTTGATATCATATTGCAACAAGCTTAAACCTAAAATACATGAAGTGATGTACACATCTCCATTAAGTATTTCTCAAAATTTTTATAAGCTTAAAAGTGAACTACCCAGTTAATCCTAGCATAGTATCTGCGCAACATTTTATAGTCCTTTATCTTTGTACTCTATTATTGATGTATGTTCATTCATTTAAATACACTCTCATCAAATTTTGAGCCCACATCTATGTAAATTCTAAGCAACGCTTCTAATAAGCTATTTACACCAATTACATACCCATACATATGCACACATACGTACATACATGGCTCGCTTTCATATGTAAATATGCGTAAAGCTATAAAATTGAAGGAACAGCAAAGATTTGGAGCTTCAAAATTTGGTAAAGCCCACCCCAAGAAAATAATGGGAGTGTGAGTGAGAGAGAACGAGGGGCTGCCCATGAGGCTGTTAACTAAGTGGAAAGACGTCGACGTCGTCGTCGTCGTCGTCGTCGACATCGTCATCATCATCGTCGTCGTAGTCGTTGTCGTCGTTGAAGGCGATAAAACCGCAGCCAACAAAGAAACAACAACTTAGCACAAGCAGCGCAACAACAGCAAAGCACACAGAAAACAAAAAAAAAGAGAAGAAAAAAAGATGAAGTCTTGGGCAAAGGCAAAGCTTAGCCAATCAGCGTACGCCGAGGGCGGAGTCTATCCGAACTGGTTTGCCGGCGCTTTTTATGTTTATTTCGTGATATTTTTGCTGATGTTGCTGTTGTTGTTGCACGCTTTGCTGTTTTTCGTTTGCGTTTACGCTTTGCTCATCTTTTGCTTTTGCACGAAATTTTTATGGGTTATCTCGCTCTGGCACGCTCGTGCAAGAGTGAAAGGGAAAGAGAGAGAGAGCAGCCCGAGAATATGCGAGTGCATGGGTATGCATGTATGTATATGTGTGTGAATGCCGCTCTGCGTATGTGTATGTGGTGAGCGACTGCTAACAAAATAGCAGGGATAGAGAGCATGATAGAGAGAGAGAGAGAGAGCGTTCACAGCAATTTTTAGTAGGAAAACAGATAAGGAAGATGATAAATGAGAGCTTTTTTTCTTTTCTTTTCCGCTGATAATCTGTACCAATTGCCAAGAGCCGATATCCCCAACCCCAATACTTATACTAAGAGAATATGTATATACACATGGAACTTTATGTATGTGTGAATATGTATATCTCTTATGTTTAATTAAATATGAGAATGTTTGCATTTTTTTTGTTTGTAATTTTCGCTGCAGCTGCGTGTTATTTTAATTATATATTTTAGCTGTTTGCGTGCTATAACTCCACCCCAATGGGGGAACGAGCCATACATATATACCAATAGCGGCTGCATATGTATCCTGACAGCTGGGGCTATGTACCGTTACCATTTACTCGAGCGTCGGCTTCCTGCACGGCGGTTGGCTAAATCCAGCCTAGCCGAACACCTAATCACATGTAATGCGCGCGCATTATCTGCGCTCTTATCTGCGTCTCCGCCAAGTGGTCAACTTCGTGTGTCAAAGGCACGAGCATGGACACTCACACACATACAGAGCAGTCGCCGCCATCCATTTCCATTCGTCGAGGTGCTAAATGCGGAGTGGGTGTTGCTACTGTTGCCGGCCTCTACCGTCTCCCTCACCCTCTCGGCGACCCACATAACGACATAATAATAATAAGCGCTGACGATTTACTCTTTCATCCCAGTCGGGCACAGGCGCGCGAATCTATATTCCCGCATCGCTCGCACTCGCGCTCGCACAGTGCTGTCCGCTTAGCCGAGTGGCTCACGCCCACGCCCACTCTCAACAATAGCTCGTCTGTGTGCCAGTGTGTGTGTGTGTGTGTGTGCGAGAGTGGGCTTGTGAGTGTGTGTGGCATAATTCCACCCGAATTTGCGGCAAATCCATTGAATTTCGCTACAGCGCACAAAAAGTAAAAGAAAACGCGCAGCCGAAGGGAAGTCGTTTAAGATGGTAGTGGAATGGGCATGGGCATGGGTATGGATGTTGAAGTGGATGTGTTTCGGAGAGGGGTGGGGAGGACTGGGTGAGCCTGTCGCCGAGACAAGTGCAATTCTGCGCCGGAACAGGTTTACCCCAGTTCGTGAACGCAAGTGTGTGTGTGAATGCTGTGGCTCTCACACGCGCTCTCGCTCTTTCGCTCGCTCTCGTTGTGTGTGTGTTTTGTTTTGGTCACACGCATACACACAAGCAAAGAGTGACGCTCTCTGAAAAAGCAAATACTACTAATTCTACTCCGTTTTTTAATAAAGGAAGAATTTTGAATTTTTATTTGGTTTATTCGAATTCAATGCATTTTCTAATTGGGAGAGAATGTTTACAATAAAACTTGATGTAATATAACTCGCTGAAATTGAGAAGATAATATAATAATAAAATCTATTATATAAATATTTAAAAAGCCAGTTAATAAAATATAAACTTTTGTCTCTCTTGCATTGAATTATTCAAGTTAGACAAATGATATAATAAAAAAAAAAAAAAAAAATATACGTTATAAATAGAGTCAAATTAATGCTTATAAACTATTACAGTCTCACTAATATATGATATACAAGTATATGTAATATAATTATTCCAACTACTACTATTTTTCAGTTTGCTGCTACTATTTGAAACGCTCGCACGCACACATGCATACAGACTGCAAGAGAGCCGGTAGCGGTGAGAGCGAGCACGAGTGCGTGCGTGTGTGCGAGAGGAGGAGAGCGAAATCGTATTTTCTAGCCACGCACACCAGCGCACACCAAAGCCAGCCAGCAAATGAGCAGAGACGAATACCAACCGAATGCCGGTCTTTCGGGACGGGGTTCGGGCACGAGGGCGGTCTTCGTGCAAGTACGTTCGGTTCGTGGTAGTGCGAATGCGAAAGAATTTTGTCAGTTGTGCGACAACTTGTGCTGTGTAAGGATGTCCAAACGCGCGTCCGTTTAACAGCCAAGAGCAGCCAGCAGTGCAAGAAGAAGAGCATACGAGATACGTCAAAATCGAATAATGCTGAAAATAAATACATTTGCCATCTAGTTAGAGAAGACAGTACAGGAAAGAGAAAGACACACAGTTAGAGAGGGAGAGCAAATCAAAGTAAACAATCAAACATACACACAAGAGACATTTGCGCTTATCACAACAGCAACAACAAGAACAACAACAAGAGCAACAAAGTTAATCAGAGTATCTGCTTGAACAATAGCATATGAAATCTTTTGCCGGAGTCAGTCTTCATTGGCAGCTCGAGTGTTTTAGTACTTGAGGCTTCTTATCGCCAGCGACCGTCGGTTCTCTTGTTCTTTTGACTGTTTTCGACACGCTGCCACGCCCACGCTACGTATTGCTTTTTGCCTCCTCCTTTGCTAATGATGTCGCGCCGTGAGCTGTGCCGCAACAACAACAACAACAACAACAACATCAGCAGTAGCAGCAGCAACAACAACGGCGAGAATTGCATATGCAACTGTGTGGCATCCACATCGAATCCGTTCCGCTAAAAAAATCGTTTGCAAAGTCGCGTCGTTCCGTCTTTCGTTTCGTTTGTGCTTGTGTCTAATTTGCGTCTCCATCAACAACAACAACAACAATAGCAACAACAACAACACTGCTTAATAATCAATAATCAAAGCGTGCTTTAGGCCTTATCGCTAAAAAAAAATATATAATAAGAGAAGAAATTGATTCGCGTTTCCATCACAAACCAACCAAGACCAATTAATGCCAAAGCAATTGCCACCTGCATCGACCCCCACACAGTCTCTCTCAGCCCCCTATCAAACCCAACGAGAAACAATCAAAACCAAGGCACATAAAACTTAAATAGTTTATTGACAACAAAAGTGCCAGCAAAGTGCATTCACAATACACAGTTCTTCAAATCAAGTTCACGAAGCTGCAAGCTCAAACCCCAAACATTTTATCATGGACTTTCAGAGCGCTATGGAAACCTTTGCAGAGGCCTGGGTGGCCGCCAATGCCGGACAGCAGGTGAGTTGTCAGGTATTAATAGAAATTTATAGAACTATTGAGGTGCAGAAGATCAAAGTGAGATCAGCTTGAAAAAGCTGTATATGTATATCTGATGCAGATTATAAACACAGTTGATCCTATCATAATACGATATATTAAGTGATACGTGGATCATAAATAGAGTTGATCGTATATACAAAATACAAATAGCTAAGCAGTTTGTCGTATATATAAAATACCTATGAATCTGTGGCTATTCCTTGAAGTCGTGGGTTCGAACGCACGCTATTACATTCTTTATAGACTTTGCTCTACCTTGATTCGAACTCAGAATTAAGTGCATATAGTAATGCTAACAGGAATCCATCGATTGCAGCCTACAAGTGTAGCCTATACTATATGTAGTATGCAGTCTCTTAGCTCATCATTTGTACAAAGAAATACTATGCCCTAGTTAAAAATTTGAATATATATGTATAATCGAAATACAACTTCTATGGACATACAGAAGTTCAGGCAAGAAGTATTAAAAAACTCTTGGTATGATATCGAATCGAATTTTCATAAAATAAGAGAGGCTGGACTTTAGATATTAGAATACATAAGCAATATAGGATCTATAAATATACTCTTGCAGTATATACTTATATACTTGTACTTATATACCTAGACAATAGTTCAAGTCTCGATCTAATGCATCAGGTTAAACTATTGTAGATTATCGCCTCTACCAAAAGCTTGACTTGCTTAAAACTTCTTTTAATTAACTTATTATCACAAAATAAATAAATATAAATAATAAAACTGTGAAAATATTCTCAATATAAGCAAATAAAATAATATTCAATATATATTTATCTGAGTACTATATAACACGCGTAAACTACGCATATAGCAAACTCCTTCACTAATAAGTATTTGTTAAATTTTTAAATAAAACTTGCTTAGCTGAAGCATCAATAGATTCGACGACAGAATTCAGGCTAGTTAGAAACAAAATTAACAAAATGACCTTAGATAGATAGATAGATATATAGATAATTCTATTCTATTTTAGAATACTCTATTTAGAATAAATATGATAATCTTTTGAGTAAGAGAATCTATCTATATTAATCTTTCTATCTATACGCAACTCTGAACTAGTATAATCCATTCCTCTTTTATCTTTATTCCTATTCATTACAAAGTCGTTTCACTACAATCTTGATTTAACTTAAGACAACAAAGTCAACTCGTCTCTATTTCATTAACCCTCATACTATGTCGTAGCTCTCGTAACTGCTCTAAGCTTAACCGTAAATAATTTCAATGGGTTCTACTCGCATTAGTCACCCTTCAACTTAACACGAAAAAAACCAACAACATTTAATCTGCCGTCTCTGAATAAAGCAAACTGAATCAGTGCAAATAAACACAAATAGTGAAAATGCCAACAGTGCCGCACAAAAATTTGTATACACTACAATAAACAAGTAAGAAGGCTCCAGTCGAGACTGCTCGACTAGGAGATACCCTGARCCCTSYAARYTGATATTCTAATCATTCTGGACTTCTTTTATGCACACATACATACACATGCACGTATAAGCACGCGCTTTGCAAACTGCGCAGCTAGCAGCGGCTGCGCTTGGGCTGCACTGCAGTGTGGGCAATATAACGAGAATTTATTTGTTGAATAATTTCTTTTGTAGACATACGATCTTAATGAAACTTTTAGAGCGTAATCATATGGCTTAAATGTGTGTACATTTCAAAGCACAAGTCTCTAGTACTTGAAATGCGTTTTTTACAAATTGGGGGCGAAGGGGGCGTGGTATCCAAAATCTGTAAATTACAAAATCTTTGTATCCATTAACTTTATATACATGCCAAATTTCAGCTCTCTAGCTCTTATATCTTCTGAGATCCTTTTGCTCATACGGACGGACGGACGGACGGACGGACGGACGGACGGACGGACGGACGGACGGACGGACAGACGGACAGGGCTATATCGACTCAGCTCGTCGTCCTGATCAAGAATATATATACTTTATGGGGTCTKYSATGATTCCTTCTGCCTGTTACATACTTTTCACAAAACCATTATACCCTGATTTCCCATTTTCAATGGGTTCAGGGTATAAAAATGGGCTAACTGGTTGAGATGTGTGTTTGCGAGATTGTGTTGCAAAAAACTATTGAAGTGGTAATTGATTATAGGGCTGAAATTCCAGATGTTCCACATAATTACAGCTAGAGTAGAAATTATATATTCTGTATATTCCTTCCATTTATTCCTTCTATAGATAGAATCTCTGAAATTTTTTTAAATGATATGTATTTCATGTATTTATTTTATTTGTGCAGCACAAATCAATATATATATTCCATGAATCCTATTTTTTCTAAATTTTTGATATTTGCTTTGTATTCTGCTATATCAAGAGTTGCAACCTAAAAAAATTTTAAGAATTGTATTTAACCATTTTAGTCAACTGCAATTTATTAATTTTTTTAGTGTTTCAGTTAGTTTATGGACATCTTAGTAAGGGCATAGAAAAACTCATACACACTCACACATACATACGCACATTTACATGACAATGTAACGTTTTCATTTATGATAAAAACAGTGAAAAAAAAAACCAAAAAAAAAAAAAATAGAGTAAAGCTAAATTCATGTGCGACAATTTTTCGCTATTTATGCAGATTAAGAGATAATCCTTATCGGGTCGGTGTTTCAGAGATTGGAGAGCAGTGCCACGATAAGCGTGCTCTGTGTGGTGGCGTGTGGTGCAGCGTGCGTGGTGCAGTCCGGTGTAAATATTACCTTTGGCGTGTGTATTTTCTTTATTTGTATGCTTAACCATGTGGGCTAATTGCCTTCTTGTAATGTGGTGCGCCTTGGCCAAGCCTCACCACAACATCGTTCTCCTCCCCCAGCGCTCTCTCCCCCACTCTATCTCTCTCTGCCTCTCTCTCTCTCTGGGTCTCTGTGCGATATCCAAGTTAAAAGCTTTTAGCTCTGCGCTGTTCAGATAAGATAATCCGCTGTGTTTTGTCGAATTGCTTGCTTATTGCTAATTTGGGCATAAGGCGTTGACAACACACACACACACACACGCATGCACAACTTAGATATAGGCACGATAAGTGCCGATAACACGTTGTAACTGTAACTGTTCAGGTTTAACTGTATTTGACTTTTGCTCGCTGCGCGTCATCAACAACTTTGTACGAATACCCTGCAAAGATGTAAGTGGGGTATATCGAGCTTTAACAGAAAATTTTGTCAGAGGGGGGCTGTTCTTATCATATATATTTTATTTAGATCGGAAGTCATAGTCGAAGAAAGCTAGCAGTGACTATTCGTCTCTACTTCTATCCTTTCATCCGCTTGTCTGTCCGCACTTCCATCTGACCGTCCGTCTCTCAGCCCTTCATTCTGTCTCTGCGTCGTGAAGTCGTCTATTCGTTCGTCAGTTCGCCTCTCAGTCCTTCCGTCTGTCAATCCGTCGTTGCGTTTTACTGTCCATCCGATCTTCTGGCTATCTCTCTCATCTCATATCTCATGATCTGTGTGTCCATCCATTTGTTCATTCATTTGCCTGTATATCAAATTTATTTATTTCTAACCTAATTATCGATCACTTTTTTATTTTCACCAAATCGATTAAAATCGATAAGAAACTTGATTTTTGTTTTCATATTATCTTTGCCGCCTCTTCAGCCTTCTCAGCCTAGCTTAGTTCCCATGGCATACCTTTCCTAAATAACTCTAATGATATCGGATAAACTTATTTGATAGGGATATCTTGACGTTATTTAGGCGAATTCACATAGGCAGTTCATCTAGGCTGGGAGGGTAACTCCAAGTCGGGCACTCCCAGCTAACGCGCAATTACTATTTTTTTGTTTATATCGGAATTGGGTCTGCTGACTGCTGACATGGGCGGCCAGATACCACCACCCCCACCCAGCCCTACCCTAGCGCCCTAACAACCCCACCCCAAGCTTCACCCTTAACGTCTCGCTGTCATTGATATCGCAATTAATCCAACTAAGTGCGATAAAATTGATTATGAACATGCTGGCGTGATTAGTGCTAGGCACAAATTGTGGATAACACACACACACACATACACACTCGCACTCACACACACTGGCATATATTTGATGGACTACATGTGTCCGCGTAGCCATTTATTAGCAGGCATAATTGATTATGTCGTGTGAGTGTAATTATTATTTATCTGCCGCACAACAAATGCGTGTGTGTGTGTGTGTGTGTGTGTGTGCCATATGGCTATATAGTCTGGAAATTTTATTTGATTTGATTTGGATGGATTTACAAGTGATTTTTGTCTTTTGAACACATTGGAAAAAATATGGAAAAAGCTCAACAAAAACAAAAATGATGTGTTATATATTAAATAAATCAAGGCATTAACTGAATATTGATATCACACACGCACGCAGCGAGAGAGAGAGAGGGAGAGAGAAAGAGAGAGAGACGCCGACTTATCGACATTGTCTTCTTGCCTAAATCAAACGCACTGTAGACAAAGCTCCAAGACGAAGAATTTCGTAGTTTTGCTATTGTTTCATTTTCATTTTTTGTTGTTGTTGCTTTTTTTTTTTTTGACAGTTTTATGTGTGTTTGGAACGCAGACGCTTAGTGAATCGTGAATGGGATTAAGATAAGACTAAGTTGGGCAACAGATAATAAAGCACCCGCTCTGCCCTCTCATCCCCTCACGCTCTCTCTCTCTCTCACACTCCCGCTCGCTCGCTTTCTGTATATAATTTGTGAGCGTCTATAAATAAGGCACAATAAAAATATAAATGAAAAAGCGTTGAACTATAACAAATCATTTGGCTTTATAAAGCATATTTCTTTTAAGGTCAAACTACAAAAAATTCTTTTTGCTAACTAATTATAAAGCATTTAGGTTTTTGTTGTGTTAATATGTCATTTAATATCGACTAGATAGAGGAGGCGGAGAGGAAGTTAATGACATGCTTGTCTAACT